CGCCAGTAATGACCAGAGCACCCAGGTCTGGGGAGCCCCGCGCCAGTAATGACCAGAGCACCCAGGTTTGGGGAGCCCTGCGCCAGTACTGCCTTTACTTGTTATCCTCCAGTCTGGAATTCAGAATACCAGGGAATCTGCCCTGTAGTTGTTTGCTGCCTCTCATACAAGTCATTTAGTGATTTATTAACAGAACTGAATCTAGCTGAGCGGTCATTTATTGGTATGTGTTAAAAGGTAACAGTGTACAAAACTAAAACATCCCAAAGCATATAAATGGGGTGAGTTACATGTAAACTGGAGTAAATGAGTACTTTAATTAATACATTACTTAAAGTTATATTTAGGTTGTGAAGATTTCATATACTAATGATTTCTGGAGAAACTACTCCATTGGCAAGGGAAAGAACTAAATCAAATGTAGGAATAAAGGCTTTTCCATAAGGAACTTTTTTTTTTAATGACTTATTTATCTATGCATACAGAACTGGGGTACAAGCCAGAGATGCAGGGGGTGGTAAGAGGATTCACCAGAGACAGAGTGGGGAGCAGAACAGGCAGATTGACAAAGTACACTGCTGAGGGGAACAGTGAGGGTCAGGAGAGGTCTGCCGCGCCATGTGGTCACCTCCTTGGTTGGGCATCAAACTCATGCTACAGTGATTACGATCGCTTCATAGTGCTATGCTTTAACTTGTTGCACCACCAGGGTGGGCCCTCTCCCCTGTTTTGATCCCTTTTTCACCTGCTCCCTTGCAGAATGTCTTTGATTTATGGTTGCCTGCTAATTAAAAAAATATATATTATTTTTACTTATTTTTTCCCGATCCCTTGTTTGGTTCCTCTCTATTCCTTTTACAAGTGAAGCTATCCAATATTTTTCTTTTTCCATCTGGCTTATTTCACTGAACATAATCCCTTGCCACTCCACTCATGTTGCTGCAAATGGCATGAGTTTTTTTTTTTTTTTTTAAGATTTATTTATTTTTGCATACAGAACTGGGGTACAGGCCAGAGG